GCATAGCTTTCCAGACATCCCCACCAGGGCACCAGACATGTGAACAAAGCTGTTTTGGGCACTTCCACAATAGCCCATTTACCAGCCAAATTCAACAGAGTAACTTACATCAGTGACATTGAACAGAGGAAACATCTAGATAAACCCTGCCTAAGTTTAAGTGAAACCAATAACATAAAATCATGAAAAATAGAGTCAAGTTGTTTTAAGACACCAGTTTGGAGGGCAGTTTACTATGCAGCATTAGATGACTGAGAACACTAGATCTGCAACATTAAAGCTAACTTACATTAGATTATATTGTCATCATTCCACTCTCCTTAAACTTTTTAAATCACCCAATTCCTGACACATTGGTTACTGTGCAATAGTTCAGTGGCAGAACTGCTCTTCTTGGGAGGTGGGTTACCTGAGGCAGAAGTCAACCTGGCAAACATATCTGCCTGGAGAAGGGGACTCATATCCATGGAATTGGTTACACTCCCTCATCATCCATTCAACAAATACTTATTAATTGGTATTGTTAAGTTAATCAGCATCCAAACCCACCCCTGGGATATATGCAGTCAAGTCATGTTTCCCTAATTGCTGTACAGCCCCAGAGTTAGGGTCAACATATACAAGGTAACATTGTGGTGATCTGTAAAATTTAGAACTCCCTCCCACACTTGTGCCCTACAATCTGGTCTTTGTAATTAGAGAAATGGCCCAGTTTCTCAGCCTACAGAGGTATTTGGAAGAGGTCTTGATATAAGATAATGAATAGATTTAATATATTGTTCCCACATATTCTTTTCTTTTTGCATAAAAATTTAACATGAAATTCCATACCCTCTTGAAACATTTCTTGAGGAGTATTAGCACTAAATTAACCCCTGATGCCTAAAAGTCAGCCAACAGGTAACTTCAGCACTTGCTCCTTGCATGTTAGCAAATACATGTTTGAACAGACTAAGTGGCCAGAGGCCATTTTGGGTGGCCACATTCTGGATTTTTAGCCACAATAAAAACTCACCCAAATTAACACAAAAATCACTATGGCCAGGCACACTTGCCCATCTCGTTATCAGAGTGTAGCCTCTGAGCTCCCTTAGTCACACTCTGGAGGCTGCGTAAGGTCTACTGGACCTGTGCAGACATTTATGTGATAAGTGGCTGGCATTGTTACTTCAGCCTATGGCAAGTCCACAAGAGAAAAAAGTGAAACTATCTGGTCTATGAGGGAGGGACTAGAGCACATATCACAATCAGATAATCCCCTAGCACCGCCTCTTGTGAGAGCCCTTAAAAAGGAGTTCTGTGCTGCAGACTAGTGATCCTAGAAGGCTCCGACCAGGGCCTGAGCAATCTTGCCTGGAGCTTACTGCCACATTTTAGTATTTGGAGACAAACAGCTGTTACTACTTTCCCAACTGCCCATTTATTTCTCACTGTACTGTTAGTCCAAAGGATTCGAATGACATTCCCAGGTTGAAACTGCCTGTCAGACACAGCTAGGATTTGAGCACAAGTCTTTTGATTCTAGTCCAGTGGTTGGCCACAGTAACACCTGCTCCCTTCGGTATTTGTTAGCATTACTACCTATAGAAGGCCACTGGATAAAATGAACTGTTGTCCCAGAAAGTGTCAGCAGTCCACAGGATTTAGAAGATGGGGACTGCCTGAGTACAGACTCATGTCAAAGACATGATCAGGATGTGTTTTTCTCACTTAGGATTTGAGTGCTGCTCCTGTGTGGACAGGGCATTTAGAAGTAAATTTTGGAAGTCAAAATAGTGGACTTGGGGGAACATTTTAATGGCTTGAAGGAATAATGAAACAAAGTATGGGAATTAGGATAGTCCCAGGAGGACTGGAATAATTGGCCACCATGTTAGAGAAATCTAACATAGAGGAGGAGATGGCATAATATAGTATAGCCATTAAATATGCACTCAGGAGTCCAACAGATCTGTGTTTGAATACTCCTCTGCTATTAATGAGCTGTGTGACCCAGGAAAGAAAATTAAATAATCTCTTAAACTCTGAGTGGAGCAAGAGACTCACCCTTGAGCTGCAGTAAGATCAGATGAGGCTGATATGGCAAAGGGGCCAGTCAAGGTCTTCTACATGAAAAGTTTCACCCGGTATGTCACACTTATAACAATCCATTCTAGTAAATGAAACAAACCATGGGAGGGAAGAGCCCCTTTCTCTGGTTGAGCTTTGAAATTCACAGCCAGTATGTGCTATACCAGCTGGATGTTAGAGTCCTCAAGACCATGTCTCTAAGCCTCCAATGCTATTTATACCCTTCAATTGCTCCTACTTGTAGATTTCAAGTAGGAGTTTCATTAATAAAGTCTGCAATCCATGGAGGTGGATCTACATTGGAGAGGTGGCATAATAAAGAAAGTAAGCTTAGAAGTCCTGCTATCTGAGTCTAAAAACATGCTCAACATTTACAAACTGTGTGACCATGGTGAGCATACTCCTCTAAGTTTCAGTTTTCTTATCTGTAAGTGGAGATAATAATAGTACCCACTTTTTATGGCTTGTACAACATTTAATGAGATATGCATATGAAACACTTAGCATACTGCTTAGCACATAGCAAGCACTTAAAAAGTTGTAATATAAAACAAGCAGTTCTTACTCTGTATGAGAGAGTTATTTTTCATCAGTGACAGTTTTGAAAAATATGCACTGGGGCTCAGGCTGCCTACTGGTGATGTGTCAAGCTGGTATAGAGTTAGAAGACCTCTAGTCCCTAAAAGCCTTCATTTCAGCTGGAGTCCAGATGAACCCACATCCCTATCTCAGGAGCAATGTTAGGCTGGAGTAGCTGAGGATAAACCTTATAACACTCTGTCTAACACTCATGATGGTCTCAGGGGCCTTTTACTGGTCACACTGGCCACCTTGTTTGACATCATCAAGATCACTGATCTTTAGATGTGTCCTGGGAACCTGATTTACAGACTAGCAGGGACAGTTTCCAAATGTGCCTGAGCTCCTTAGGTCTATCTCAGGCTCTGGGGCTCAGGACTATAATAATACCATGGTGTTTATAGCACAGGTATTATCCCTATTTTATGGATTAAGATACAGGCATTCAAAGTGATGGAGGGACTGACTCATGATTACCAAAACAGCAATTGATTTGGAGCTTAGATGAGTCCAAATTACTGATTCTAATGCAGTACACTTGCAAGCTATGCTTTTCCCCCGACTCTTCTAATCATAAGTACAGATTACTATATCTTGAATCATTAGCTATAATAATAATTCCATTAACATATATCTCTCAGAGAAAAAATGACTATAATCTCACTAATGGCATATACATACATGTATTCATGCATGTATATATGCATATGTATATATATGTATAGTTTTCTGTAGCTGTATTACCAGGAGTTGTGATAAATTCATACTTTTCCACCTGTTGGGGACCCCTTGATCCCAAGGATTAGCCAGGATTTGAAATACAGGCCCCGAAAGAGTAATTATAAGTGTCCTGCCTATAGAACTAACCTGTGACCTGCCTAGACCAAGCCAGCCTAGTGGTCCTTATGTAAAGGTATGTCACCTGGAGACTGCTCTCATGAAAAGCTTTCCTCTCCATTATCCAGACTGTGTCACATGCTTTTGCTTCCTACACTGTATAGAGAAAGGTTTGAATTGCAGAGTCTCCAAAACCTCTTTGTTCATGATTCTATTAAGCAACCTTCCCGTGTAGTTTTTCACTCTTCCAGTTAGGCAGTCTTGCTTCTATGGCCCAGATTGTCTGTCTGAGTAAATAATGGTGCTTGGTTCTGCAGGTAGTAGGATTTTTCATATGACTTTTACCCTCCTTTATTTTTTTTCATTTTTAAACCTTTTCTGCTATTAATTTTTCAGATGTCAGGGACATAATATTCATAGTGTATTTGGCAGAGAAAATATTGGGAGAAGAGACCAATTAAGTTTCTATTGTAGTAGTTCAATATCACATGAATCAAGTGAAGAAAAAAGGTAAGTGGAGAACAAGCTGAAATGATAACTAAGCTTCATGTTTAGGAAAAAGGGAAAATGATATTGCCCACAGAGCACAAAGAGGGCAAACCGAGGGTACATCCAAGGGGAGGTGAGGGCTGCTGAAAAAATCAGCCTAGAACTCAGGTGAGTCATTAAAGCTTGAAACAGGTGAGCTTTCTGAAGAGGAACATAAAACAAGGTAAAAGACGTAGGAAGCAGGAGACAAAGGACTTAGATAAACCACCATGCTTACTGGTACTAAACATTAACCTGCATGCTCAGTCCTATCCAGTTCCTGAGTCAGCCTTAAAAAAAATGTGAACAATAGTGGAAATTCCACTGTCATTCACAAAGGTTGAAGGAAGTGTGTGTGGGGAGCTAGCAGGAGAGTACATAAAAACCTTGGTTCATTATCTGATTTACCAAAGGTTAGAATCCTGGGCCTCTGCACACTCAGTGAACTGTGACCTGATCAGTGGATTGCCACGATTGTCCATTCTATCTGAATGGCTGTCCCAATTCCTGACTCTCATGCCACTTCACTTCTGGGGTTGAAATATGACCCTGAATCTCAATTCACTTGGCTATGGCCACAACCTATTACCTGGCCTATATCAGTATTGTCTGAGCAGTGGGCCATTGACTAGTGTCACACCTGAAATCAGAGACCTCTCCTCTCTTATCACTCCAACCTCAATTTATGATTTGGCTTTCTGCCACCTCTTTGGATTGGAGAAATAAGAGAAAGCCCACGAGAGTGTGCCTTCTCTGGAGCCAGGGAAGGAGGAATTTTTAGGGTAAGAGCCACTTTTCAAACTGATCAATTCCTTCAAAAAGGTGAAGGAGAATGAGTATGGCCTTAGATCATTTGATTTGGTGAGAAGTACTTCATGGTGACAACGAGAGTGTGCTTTCAATAGTATGGTAGAGATAGAGAACAAATTACAGGGGATTTTGAATGCTCTTTATAATAGAGAAACTCAGACAAGAATAAATTGGTTATGACAAACCCTTTATTTAAGCCTATCTTTGCATACAAATCACTAAGAGCATGTCCGCAGTTCACCCTAAAGACCCCCTCATAGTTTCTCAATGCCTCTAATTTCCTTCTTCCCTGTCTTCTACAATCTTTCTTCTCTGTTCTCTTATATATATATACTCTACTTAACCCTCCTCATATTCAACTGTGACCCAGAATGGAAATATAGAAGAAAAAAAAAACCTTAATAAAATAATGAAATCTGAAAAAGATAAACAAAAACATGTCAAAACCCTCTGGAGCCAGGATGAAGAAAGATGCAAGGGAATCTCCTTCCTATCACCCTAAAAAGCATGAGAATTTTAATAAACAATGTTAATAGAAAACTGACCTATACAAAGAATTGACCCTTCTTTGTCCTGAGCTGCTCAGGGGTCAGAAATGGAATTATCAGGCAAGAAAGAATCAGGGGAATTATGGAAGGAGGGAATATACAATTGTTAAGTAAAAGGCACTGTCTTCCAAGAAGCCCTGAAGAAGAGGGTGGGCTGGCAGGAGCTGCCACACTCTCCAAAGAACCTCCGGAGTACAACATCCCCTCTGCCCTGGAGCCTCAGGACACTACAGACTCCGCTTGCTGCTTTTCTCTGACTGGACTGCTGCTCTGACTGGTGAGACTCCAGGCAGCCTTCAAGATTCAGTTCCAACTACACCCACTTGATGATGGGCAGAGTTCACTCCTCTCGGCCCTCCCACCTCTAAGTATGAGGAATGAGTGGTATGAGTTAAGTGTCCATACCTCTAAGTCCACTGCAAAACCTGTATTCATTTACAAGTCTCTCTGCTGTTCAGGAGCTCTTTGCTCTTTGTATCCTAGGTGCCTCATGCAGTGCCTGGTGCATACAGGTAATTAATATAACTATGTGGGAGTACGGAGGAGAAAAAATAAAGAAGAGGGAAAGAAAGGAAGGAAAAGCAAGATGGAGGAAGGGAGAGAGGAAGCATCACACTCAACCTTTCCTGGCCAAGAAGAAAGGAAATGGATTTTAAAAACTCTAGAGGAAAGGGACAAAAGGGGAGAAAACCACTTTTCTGGGTCTCATCTGCCCCTCACTCTTCTCTCACAAGTCAGGCCTCACACCACAGCTGTCCTGTTTTCACTCCTGATCTCTCAATCCATCCCAAAGGGAAGGAAAGAAGCCAGTCAGGCTTCGTCCTCTCCTCCATCCCCTCAAACCTCCTACATCCCATTCCGCCCCCCACCTCTGCACCCACCCATCTTCCCCAGGGCAGCATTCCCACCTCATCGCCCAGGCATCTCCAGCCCCTGTGCTGTGTCAGGTCCAGATGGGAACTTCTGCCACAGAGTGAAAACCAGAGATCTTAGGCAGCCTGTGGTGTCTAGACCGGGCCTATAAGTTACTGGGGAAAGAACATTCCAAAAGGTTTAGGTGTCCCAAGATTTGGAGGATAGAAAGGAGCAAGTCCTGGCAAAGGGAGGGTCCAACAGTTGCAGCCCTTCGCCCACCTCCTCACACTTTTCCATTCATGGCCTTGGCAGGTTTTCTCCTTGATCCATGGGTCAAAAATGTCATTTTTCTGACTGTCCCTTAGTGGCCCCTATACCTTGGCTACTGGAGCTGCTAGACTGTCTTCTCAACCAGATGCACTTCCCACTGAAAACAGGGCCAGGGCCCCTAAACCTTGTGGAGTTGCTCTGCATGTTCCCTCCTTCCCTAGGCACCCAGCTGTCTCACCCATCCCCAGCCCTTTCCCCAGGAATTCTGCAACCAACTTTCCATCAATGAAGATCATAAATACAAAAGCAGTTTAGGAGTTGTACAGCACTGCGCTGGAACAAAATACTATGACGAATGAAGCCTTCTCTTTCTCCCCCCAGAGTCTGTGTCCTCCTCTCAGGATGTTGCTCCTTCCTTCCTCCCCAACCCCTGCTGCTCTCCCTCACCCAGCAGGTTTGCTCTGGCACCGTGTAGGAAATAAAGCCGTGCCCTGCACGGGGGCAGTGCCAGAGTGCAGGCGGACAGCTCAGCCCGAGGCCTTGGCAGAGTTCCCAGGCAGAGCCATCGGCCCAGGCCAGGACAGTAAGCATGGATCAGGTGGGAGAGGGCATAAGTACAGTGGCTGTAGCCCCCCAGCACCAGGAGCTCCCCCTGCAGTGTGGCACCTGCAGCACCCACATGGGGGGAGGGCAGGGGTGCCAGGTGAGTCCAACTGTCAGTCCTTGGTTCATAGGATTCAAAGCTCAGCAGGTCCCCAGTCTCACCTAACCCACCTGCCACATACAACCGCCCACCTAGAGCAGCCATGATATGGCTGGCCCGAGGTACCCCCATAGGGCTCAGAAGTGTCCCCGCCTTCTCAAGCTTGGGCTCATAATGCAGCAGTGAGGCCAGGTATTGCCCAGTGCTGCTGCAGCCACCACTCACATACAGTTGGCCCTCCAAAACAGCAGCAGCATGGGCAAAGCGAGGTGCTGGAAGCGCAGGTGCTGGCCTAAGGGAGAACAGGGTACAGGGTCAGCAGCAGTCACCTGCAATTCTCATTCCCTTCCAGATCCCCTAGTCTCTCCCTGCTCACCTCCAGACATTGAGCTCAGGGTTATAGGCCTCCACAGAGTCAAGGGCAACACCCTTGTCTCGTCCACCCAGGGCATAAAGTTGTCCATCCAGAGCCACCAGGGGAAAGAAGCTCCGAGCCTGGCACAAAGGCGCCATCTCCTCCCAATCCTCTTGACTGGGGTCCCACCTGGACAAAGTGGGACAAGAGATGGGAAGAGTGACCCTGGGAGTCTGTGGTTGGCTGGGCCTGCAATTTCCCTCAGCTGCCACTCTGGGGCCTGCCACCCTTGGGGCCCCTACCTGAGAGTTGAAGCCAGAATGTTGGAGTCACTGTAGAAATCCTGTCCGCCACACACGTAGAGTTCACTTCCTGCTAGGCTGGCAGCCCCATGGCGGAAGCGCCCTGGGGCAGGCAGGGCCGGCAGCTGCCCCCACTCCACAGTTCGAACCAGTCCGGTGCCACAGCAGAAGGCCTGGGCCCACCACACTCCTCGGGATGGCTGCCTTATGGCCATATCTGATCGGAGCCCATCCCCGCCAATCACTACCAGTGCCTGATCAGGCTCCCTCCGCCTCTCTTGACCTGGAACCTCAGCCTCCACCATCAGCTGATGCAGCAAGTTGGGGGACAGGGGTGGAGGCAGCCCAGCTGCCCGTACCCTCCGCAGCTCTCTGGTGGACATACGGCCAAAGCGGACACATCGCAGCAGGGCCTTGGCTTCTGACTCCTGGGTCTCAGGGTTGGCAGCTAGCCAACACCGCGCAGCCACAAAGGCCTCGAACTCCTCCTGCACATGTAGCTCATTGCTGTCTAGGAGTTCAGCCAGGCAGGCACCCGGTAAAGAAGAGAAAGTGGAACACAAAGTCACAGCAGGCAGGTGCGTGAGGAGGTAGTGACGGGCTTTGCTCCACAGCCTCTCCAACCCTGGGACTTCAGCCATGGGGAGCAGGGCCAGGCAACGGGCAGGGCTGAGGCCCTGTGCCAAGGCTCTCTGGCACAGTGCCAGGCAAGAAGCACTCTGGTACTGCATAGCAGCCTGGGCCGCTCGCAGCAGTCCTGGCCACCGTGCCCGAACAACCCCAGAATAGGCAAAAGAGACAAGGAGTTGCAGGTCCTGGGCAGAGATGGTGTGCAGAGACACCTCTGTACCCTGGGATTCCCTCATCCCACTCAGGAGCATGGCCCCAAAGAATTCACTGCCACAGGCCAGGGCTGCTCGGTGCACTGCAAGAGGGAGAAGCAGAGGGGAATCCAGAATGTTGCAAACTGCTAGGCACTATCCCAACTTCACAACCCCAACTTTGAGCCAACCACCCAAGGCCACAGGCCCAACCGTGGTGTGCACCAGAATGCCATGGGGTGCTTGAAAAAATGCAGGTTTCAGCAATCTACCCCCAAAGATTCTGATTTAGTCACCTAGATGGAGACCCTACGGATTTGTATTTTAACATTTTCAAGCACCCTGCATGATTCTCATGATAGTGGCCTGAAGACACTGTGCTAGACATTGCTTTAATCTTTTTGATCCAAATCAGTTGGAGAGTCTTGATGGATCAAGTTGAGAAGATGCTACAGACAGCATTTGCAAATAGACAAAATAAACTGCAGTGACCAATGGCAATTTATACAGGTCTCTCTACATTGTGCACAGAATTGTAAAGTTCCTTTACAATCTGAATAGCCATTGACATCAGCCATTCTGTTAGACAGATTATACTCAGAAAGTGGTACCACATTCAGGGATGGCTGTAACCTAACTTCATCTAAGTGACATCTCCTCTTGCCCAAGAACCAGTGCTTAAGATTTTCTATGTATTCTAACCCTTTCCCGCACACACTCCACGGCTGCCCCACCCCTGCCTCCAGCCCACCCATCTCAGTATAGGTCATGGAATCATGACTTTTTTTGAATCATGACATTTTAAACTGGAAACCTTCAAAATCATCTTGTTCAAATGTTCTTTTTAAGATAAGGAAACTGAGTTCTAGAGAAAGGAAGGGATCAATTTTCTATTCTGTTGGTGGCTCTCTGGGCAGATCTTCACTACCCACTGTCACTGATGTCAGGCTGTTAGTACCCTATTTATCTATATGACCCTCATGACACTGAAACTGTTCTATTAACAAGTGCAGTTAAATAACTAGACCTCATATGCTTTCTAATGTAACTCAATTTGAGATACTTGGCATCAAGAATGGAATATTCTGACCAAAATATTTAATTAAAATCTAATCAAACCTTTAGATCTAAATTCAAGTTCAAAGGAAATTGAGAGGCTAAAGGAACAAATTAAACAAAAGGGAAAACACATGCAAATCTAGATACCAGATCCCTCAATAGGATAACCTGTCTTGTTTCTTCAATAGGTCAAATCTGAAAAAAAAAAGGGGAGAGAGGACAGTACAAGAGTAAAGGAAGCCTGGGTGGCGAACATCGGAGCACAGCATGGTCCTTGATTGGTTTCTGGGTTGAACAAACCAGCCCTAAAAGAGATTTTTTGGACAAGTGGGGCAATTTCTGTATGTATTAGGCAATATCCCTTAATTTTCCTTATTGTTAATTTTGTTGGACATGATAAAGATATTTTGGTTATATGAGAAACTGTCCTCTTTTAAAGAGAAACACACCTAAGTATTTATGAGTGAAATGTCACAGATTTACTTTAAACTTTAGTAAAAGCAAAATAAAATAAAGAGCTGAAACAGATATGACAAAATGTCCACTGTTAAATCAGGGTGATGTTTGTGTCCTCCTCAAATTCATATGTTGAAGTCCTAGTCCCTAATAGGTTGATATTTGTAGGTGAGGCCTTTGGGAGGTAATTAGGTATGAGAGTGAGACCCTGTGGATGGGATTAGTGGCCTTGTAAGGGGAGACATGAAAGATGATTCTCCTCCTGCCATGTGAGGATATGTGAAAAGGTGGCCTCCTACAAACCAGGAAGAGGACCCTAACTAGAACCTGACCATGCTGGTACCCTGATCTGGACTTTCAGCCTCCAGAACTGTAAGAAATATCTGAAGTTACAAGACCCAGTCTATGGTATTTTTGTTAAAGCAGCCCAAGCTGACCAAGACAGGATGCTTTTCCTTCTGAGAGTCCCAGAAACACGTTGGGTCCCAGTCATTCCTCTCATGGGCTGCAGCTATGTGACTTCAGACATATCTTGAAGTCTGACTTCTTTATTAAAGTATAAGAGCTGAACTAGTTAATCTCTAAACCAATTCCTTTTAGTTTTAAACTGTTATGTATCTGCATTCTGATTCCATTTGCCAGGTCCTATGTGTCTTTGGTTTGGCTGCATAGGAGGCAATGCATGGCCTAGTGAAAGTAGACTGAGCTAGTGGATGTGAGCTTGTATCCAGGTTCTCACCAATTAACATCTCTGAGTTTAATGTTCTTTATCTGCAACTACGGTTAATAGTACTTACCTCACTAGTTTTCAGGGAGAATTAAAAGAGATAGCATGTGTAATAAAAACTCATCGTTCCCAGTACCTCACTAAATGTTAGTACAATCTGAATACTCAAGGTATGCAATACTCCTTAGCTTTCCTGCTGATGAGCAGAGTTGAGTTCAAAGTTCCTTATGGCCTGGGAGCCTTAAGATTCTGGCAAAACAGTACCAGACCTTGCTCATTAGCTGAAGGATCCACATCTGCCATAGTGTCAAGCACACTTAGGTGAAAGGACACACTGTGAGGTTTTTTCTGGCTTTTCCTGTGTCCTAAATAGAAGATGCCAAGAAAGGCTTTTGGTTAATCCCTGTTGGGGTCAATCATTTTCTGCTTGTTCTACTGGCATAAACTGTACCTTTAGCTCTAGCCAGCTGACTGGAAATTCCTTGTTGGCTGGGCACAGGGAAAGCCACAGTGTGGAAGGCCAGCTTAAATCTGTCTGAGCTCCCAGAAAAACAACTCAACTGCGCATGCCCTGCTCTCAGTGGGTCAGGAGAGGCACCCAAGGCCACCCCAGGGAAATTCTGACTATACTGGGGATCAATCCACCTGTTGCTTGCACACACCATTCCGTGGCTTATGCACCTGCAGTGATGTAATGCCACACAGGTGCTCACCCCGCAGCCGGCAGCCACCTGCCTCCAGCTCCAGGTCACACCCGGTGCCCTCTTGGTATAGGAGGTCGATGCTGCGCAGGTTCTCCTTTAGCTCTTCTGCCCGGCAGGGCTGCTTTTCATCTTCCCGTATGCTTCCAGTCCCCTCACGTCTCCACTGGGCCGCGGCCTTCACCCTGGGGGCTCCTAGGGCCTCAGCAGCTACCAGTACATCCCCCCAAGGGGCGGGGCCCAGCACCCCCTCATAAGCAAAGGTCAGCACGGCTTCCCAGGCCCCAGGTGCCACATCGAGACTAAAGGGGGATCGTGGACCTCTGCCACCCAGCAGCCTGCCTCGGAAGAGGCTGCTAACCGCAGCCAAGATCACCCGATGCACCCCGTATACTCGCCCCCCGACTGACACCTCTTCGTCCACCAACAGCCTTTGATCCCGCAGCCGCTGTGCCTCCGCGAAAAACTGGCTGGGATGCTCCTCGCTGCGCAGCCCTTCGGACTCTGCCGCATCTTCTTCGTCCTCCTCTTCGTCTTCCTCTAGGGACACGGCTGGAAAGGGAAGGTTCCCTGGGGCCATGGGCCTGGGGCCAGGCTCTTCCAGAGGAAAGGGGGTCAAACGAGGATCCTCGTCGGGGGACGGAGGCCAGAAGTGGGCTCTTGGGGCGGGCAAAGGGAGGCCAAGGCAGGCCTTTGGGACCGGAAGAGAGGTGCCCTCGGGGTCCGAGGCACGAAGTGCGGACTCCGAGATGCTCATAGCCTAGGTTCGCTGTATAGCTGCAGGTGAGCAGAGGAGTGGGGGGTCAGAGCTTAGCCCAAAGCGGCCGGAGGAACCCTGCTTTCAGCCCGGCAACATATCAGTCTCTCTCCCTACTTCAACCCTCCTCTCCCCACCTCCAGTCCCATCTCAAGGCTGGAGCCGCTAGGCTACACAGCGCAACTCTGAGGTTGCCGATGGGCAGCGAAGGATGTAAGAAGCCTGTGTGAAGATCCAGTGCCTCGCCCTTCCTGACGCCAATCCGACAGTCACCCTCCTGAGACACCAGCGTTCTGCTTGCCCTCTCATCCGAACCTGCTCGGCTTTGCACCGGGTGGCGGAGGAAACTAGCCTCTCACGCGGCCAGTGGCCCCACCCGGCTAATTATAGCCGGCGCGGGCAGGCTAGGGGCTGGACTCCAGGAGCCCGACTCCGACACCCAAACCGCTGGGCCGCGTCCCGAGATGACCTTCTCCCCCCTTCCACTTGTGTCACCTCTACGCGCTGAGCGAGGCAAACGTGGAAGCCAAGGACGATGCGGGAATAGGGTGGCTGCGTTTCCCAGACCCGGCTGGAGGGGGCGACGGACCCCGCAGACCCGCGGAGCGCGAGGCTAAGAGCAGAGCGTGCATTTTGGGTCAGTCCTGGGCTTTGACTGTTGTTTCTCTGTGAACAATATTGAGGTGAAACGCAAACATAACCTCGGCTGGGTCCACCGAGGGCGGAGGGTGGGGGAAGTAAATGGATGGAGGTCAGAGCTAGGATCCTAAGTGACTGGGATTTCTTCCCAGTCCCGAGGTGGGGTCGGTGGTGAAACAGCGAAACCCAACCTGCGTCTTCAGAAAGAAGGAGTCTGGGGGGATCTGATCCTCACCTTGGTCGCTGGGATGACGACCAATCTTCGCAGCGGCGGGGACCGGAGTCCGGGACTGGATGGGTGGCGGGCGCAATACCGTTTTTTAAAACTGAGTAATAGTTCACGTACAATGAATGCTATGTTAGTTTCAGGTGTGTAACATAGTGCTCCAATCTCACCGTCTGAGGCAGGACACCAAGAGCCACCTCTTCTGCCAGGGCCAACACTCCTTCCTCATCTTGAGACACCCCTAAATCCGAGAAGTCACTTTTCACTGCAGTTCCATGTATCTTCATGCGGAAGGAGTTGAGGGAAGGGGCATCGCTGCCCCCTTCCCTACGGAAGAGGTAGAACAGGTAAAGGGCTGCTGGAGGTGGCTCCCCTGTCCTTTAAAAAGACTGGTCCAGGCTGGATAGATAGGACAAGCTGACTTAGCCAGGGATAGAAACACGATTCTTTCTTTCGACTCAGGTGAAAAGGGTGGTGCCCACGTGGGAGAGGTGCGGGAAGGTGGACTGCTCGACGCAGCAGCCCCCTCCAGCCTTGGGGAACTGTCCCCAACTCTCGCCGGCTGGTACCCGTGCCGACCCGCAGCAGGGGAGTAGCGTGGCTGCGGGCTGCACTCCCCAAAATGGTTCGGGGGAGAGAGGCAGCCTGTGGTTGCCCTGGACAGCAGAAGAGGCGATGATGAGCAGCCCCTACACCCTCTCCCCCATCTCAGACTTCTCGCACCGCTTCTATGGCTTCCTCGCAGCAAGACAACGCAACCAGCACCTGAAGTCCCCACCCTGAAGAGAAGGAGCCGCCATCGCGTAGAGCCATAACCCAGGTCGGCCTCTGCCCTCCCACCACTGGTAAGGCCAAGAACACTGGGCCGCGCTCCGGGTCCCATGCCGGCTCCACGGCCCTGGGACAGCTTCGCTGCAGTGAGGCTCTGGAGGCTCTGCACAGCAATGCCACTGTGAAACCCACGGCCCCCCAGTGGACAAGGAAGGCTGGATAAAGTCCGCTGTTCTGGGCCATCCGCCACCCCATTAAAGGCCCAGGGACTGACCTCCCCCATAGCACCTCCAGGTCTGTTAGCTGCGGTCCTGGTCCCTGACTTGAGAGCGTCAGCCGCATCTGTGCTGAGTCAGGCGAGAGCACAGCATCCATCTCCACAGAGGAGCCCCACCCCCAGCCGCACCCCCAGCAAGAGGATCTGGAGAATTCGTAGGCCAGGCCTGACTAGGCCCAGGGCCGCCTTGGCAGGGTCATGGGAGTCATGGTACTTGGTGATGCTCAGGGTTCCCCGAGTTAGGGGATCTAGGTGGGGAAGAAAACTTCCCTTGGGAGGGGCTCTTGAAGGGTGGGGCTGAGGGTGACCTGGTTCCTCACTCACCATCCTACTCTCCTAGATAGGCTGTCTGCTCAAGAGCTGGGGCGTCATCCTCTTCCTGCAGCTGCCTTGGATCACTGCTCAGGTGGGCATAGGTATGGGCTCAGGGCTCTGCAGGGCAGTAGGGGTTCAGGAACCCTGGGGAATGAGTTAAAGGAGCCCTATTCCCATCTCCACCCCAGGGCTCTGCTCTCAGCTTCAGTCACTACTATCACCAGCCTGTCTATCTCAGCCATTTCCACCAACTGCCAAGTCAAGGCTGGTGAGTCTGTTGCAGTTCCGTCATCTCTCAGGGTCCTGGTTCTGTCAGGTGTAGCTAAAACCACAGACCCTCTCCTCCCCTCCCCTCTCCTCTCAGGCGGCAGGTACTTCTTGCTACCTGGGTGCTGAACTTGGCAGACGAATAGGGATCATCTTTGCTTCTGCCAACATGGTAGCTGTGGCTATGCACACAGCAGGCTCTGTAGAGACCCTTTCATATCTGCTCTGGGTAAGGCCCATCCCTCCTTTGGTGCACCCTTTTCTGAGTGCAGCCTGGAGTCATTTTAATAATCAGATGGAGGCATCAAATCAGACAATGAAGTCTCTGTGACCTTCTACCTCTGTGTTCTGCCTTCCAGGAACATGGGGTGCAGCTGCCAAACATGGATCCCAAAAATGAGTTTTGGGTGATGGGTGTGGTGACTATGACCATCCTTTTGGCACAGAACTGGCCTGTGTGGAGTGGGAACCTAGGGTAGGCTCAGGAGGGGTGGGGTGAGAAGGCCGAGGGGATGGCTGTGAGAGCTGGACCAATTTGGAAGGGGCCAAACATAGGGAGATGTGGGATTGTGTGTCTGTGTGTAGATGGCACAGCAGATTCTGTGTGTGTGTGTGTGTGTGGCTGGCGCAGCAGATTGTGTGTGTGTGTGTGTGTGTGTGTGTGTGGCTGGCGCAGCAGATTGTGTGTGTGTGTGTGTGTGTGTGTGTGTGTGTGTGTGTGTGGCTGGCACAGCAGATTCCCAGGCTGGACAGTTTTGCTGGAGGACACTCCACACACCAATTCCTCAAGGGGCAAGTAAGGAGGACTCATTCCGAGGCTCTGCTGGGGCGAGCACTAAGCAAGGCTACCGGATAAGAAGTGCCCTGTCTCCTGCTCCCAGATACTTACAGTCTTGAGATTTGCCCCTCTGGCATGCGAAGGGACACTGCAGTTTGAGGCAAGAAAGAAAAGGACACCATTTAGCCAGTATCCAGGGAAGAGGCTGGCAGGAAAGGGAACCAGAGGATGGGGGAGGAGAGGGAAGATGAGATAAGGATAGGGAGGAGGTGAAGTAGTTACTCCTTCCTTTCCACTCACATTTCTCCTGTTTGTTTTTTATCTCCCATGGCATATAGGACCAAATTATCTCCTTCTTCCTGATCCTCCCCTCTTTCATCAGTTACCTTCTGGGGACACTCCTCTCTGCACATCCCAGCCAAGAAGCCACTGGCTTCTTTGGGTCCCAAGGTAAGTCAGTGGGAGGCTGGCTGAGAAGTGCATTTAGGGGCATGAACACCTCAGAATGCCATTTCCCCTTGGAGCAGGGGACCTTATTAGCCCAACCCTCCTCAGAAAAGCCCCCTTGACTCCGATTCTGTAGGCCATTTGTGAGTTGCCCATCAGATAATTAGGAGCCCTCTAAGTCCCTGGGCTGGCTAGTTTACAAACTTCCCTTCTTCCCAGCCCAGCTAAGTCACTGACACTAAAGTGCATAGAGGGGTAATGGTGTTGGCTGAATGAGGGGAAGCCAGGAGGTACTACTCAAAACACCATCTTTTCTCTCTGCTCTTCTTTGTAGGAAGTATTTTCTTCGAAGATATGGCGCCACAGTGGCGTAGTCCAGAAGCCAACTTCTCAGGCATGTTTTCCATCTTCTTCTCCTCAGCCACTGGGATACTTCCCGGGACCACTATCTCTGGCGACCTCAAGTTGAGAAGAATGTCCAGGCACAGAACACACACTCTCTCCTCTCCTCTACCTTCACTAATAGTTCAAGTTTGGTTCCCAGGACCCTGCTACTACTATCCCCAAAGGAACCCTCCTTGCCATCATGTGGACCACACTCTCTTACCTGGGCATCTCCGTCACCATTGGTAAGGCCCTCCACTCCTGACTACTGTGCAGCGTGACCTGGAACCTTTGATTTCTGCTTCTCTGAGGAGCTAGGGTATAGGTGATGAAATGAGCAAGTGGTATTCATCAATCACATTCAAAGTAGTTTACCCCCCTCTCAACATTTCTCCCCATCCCTCATTTCATTAATGAATTTTATGGCATTCTTTGATTATCCAATTTCATCACCCCACAACCCCACCATGCACACATACTTCCAATCTCCCCTTTGACTTGGATGGTACCTAGATAGATCTACTGTGTTGGGATGGGGGTCTCTCCCCATGAAGGGGTGTGCATCTTTTATCTCATTTCCAGGTTCCTGTATGATTCGAGATGCTTCAGGAAATTATCACTGACATGGGTGTGCAGAATAGGAGCTGCCTGGGGCCAGAGTGTCAGTATGGCTGGGATTTCAGCAGTTGTCGAGAACAAAGGACCTGCCACTATGGGCTCTCTAATTACTACCAGGCAAGTGAACCAGAGAAGATTAGGGAAATAAACCTTACCTAGCCCATTGCCCAGCACAGAGAGGATGCTCAAAGGACAGTAATGACTTAAGTGGATTCATGTGGGTGGGGTAAAATCCTCAAAAATGGAATAAAATATAATACACCCTGCAACTTCTGGGAAAGCCAGGTAAAATTATGGGTGGAATGCCTTGCTTCTGGAATGCACTGATTTCTGCCTCTGCCTGCCCTTCTCCACAGGCGAAGTCCCTAAAATCTTCCAGGTTAGTCAGTATCTTACCAAGGGGCTTTGGAGAGAAAGGAGAGAATCTACATAGACAGTGCCATCCCAGGGTCTAATTTTTTGGGGAGGAGGAGCAAAAGAAGACCCAGTCTCAGCAACCAGGACCTAGACGGTGACTGAAGGAGATGGAGATGACTGTGGTTGGCTGGTGTTTTAAGAGACAATCTAAGTTCATATAGCAAAATTCAAAGTCTGCCCACAAGTCAGGGCAAAGTCTGGGCACAGATCACTCCTCTACCTGCCTCCTGTTCCTCCCACCTCACATTCTCAGGGGTCTCACTGCACTCTATTCTGTCTATCTGTTCTTCCTGTTGACCCCTAAGCTCCCTCGCTCCCTTTCACTGCTCTGGAGGAGCAGGGGGCTGTCATTCTCCCTTCTCTTGGGACCCTCCCCAATGACAACCATGCCTTCTTACAGTGGCTGTGCCAGGATAAGCCATACCCGGTCATCGGCTTTCTGGGGAAAGGCTATGGCAAGAAACATATCCGCAAGGCTATCTGTTTACCTCCTTCGTGGCTGCAGGCTTACTCCTCATTGGTGAGTGCTCTTCCTCCACCCAGGCATCATTAACCACCTTTCCCCTCATGTGCCCCACTCCCTACCTGCAGCTTTTAGGGCTTGACCCTAAAGCATCTTTCTCTCTCTCTAGTCCTGAAAGTGGATAGAAACATCTGCTAACTTGGTGGCAGTGGTGGTGTTTGCGAAGGTGGGGTGGGGAGTAGGGAATAGGGAGTGCAGGGATGGGAAAGCCTGAAGATGTCCTTGATCCCCTAGACCTGGATCCCATGGCCCAGTTTGGAGACTAACCCCTTGACCTTTCATCTCATTCAAAGCTGATCTGAACACCATTGCCCCCATCATCTCCAACTTTTAATTCTGCTCCTATGCCTTCGTCAACTTCAGCTGTTTCCACGCTTCCCTTCGTTGGTTGCCTGGTTAGTATGGGCAAGTGTTGGGGTCAGGCCCAGGGATGGGAGGACCTGGGAAAACTGGAGGAGCATCCTTGAGGTGCAAGCGTGGGTGGTGCTGAGGCTTGGACAAGGGATGGTTTGCATTTGCTCTCCTCTGCAGGCTGGTACCCTTCCTTCCACTGGTACAGTCCCTGGCTTTCCCTCCTGGGCTCTCTGCTCTGCCTGCTCATTTTGTTCCTCCTCACTTGGTGGGCAGCACTCATTGCCATTTTGCTTACCCTTCTGCTGCTGCTCTATACGTTCTACAAGAAACTTGGTGAGTGACAGGGCAGGTAGCTATGGGAGTGGAGTGAGACACAGCAAGAGGCTGACCCCCATTAGAAGCCCAGAACTACCCCACCTCTAATGGTTCTGCACCACCCCTTCCTCTGCACAGACATGGACGGGGGCCCTGGGGTCCAGGTGGCCTTCTATCACATGGCACTGTCCTATTCAGTGAGCCCAACCAATATACAGGACCACATCAAGAACTTCTGGTAAGGGAGTCTCTATACAAGTGCTTGAAAACTGGTGGCATCTGGATTGCATCTTGCCTGCAAATGGGTTTTGTTCAGATTGCACAGCATTTACAATTTTTAAGATTAGTTGCCAAAATTATGTATCTGGTGTCCTGGCACTCCATCCCACACGACACACTTGGCTGGAGCCAACAGCTGCTGTCCCATGAGACAAGGCAGGTACTCTCCAGTTTGTCACAGTTCCCACCTGGTTCACTTCATTCTTTGTTATATGACTGGTTCTTGCAGGCTTTGAGTTTTCAATTCCTGCTTTAGACTAAAAGGAAGCCAGCTTCCTAAAGTCTGGCAGGGGCAGTGGAGGAGAAGGAAGGGAACCCAACCTCCCTCACTGTGCTGTGAGATGGAGAGGCCTCTCTAATACTCATGGTTTCTCCCTTAAAATTCTCTCTAAAATTCCCCAGTGGGTTGGGAAGAATTGATTACTGCTTCAACATTCCCCTTCCTCCTTCTCCACAGGCCACAGCACCTGGTTCTCACTGGTCCCCCCAGCCAGTGTCCAGCCTTGGTGGATTTTGTGGGGGCCTTTACCAAGAACATGAGTTTCATGATCTGTGGGCATGTGGTCTCAGTAAGAGAAGTGGGAATGGGAGGGGACTGCAGTTGGAGATTCTAGACTGGAGGGAAATAAAAGGACTGAGAAGATCCACAGGTCAGTGGGCTCAGAGAATCTAGAAAGTGTGAGGTTCAAGTAGGATGCTGAGGCACTGTCCCCAGCCTATGTGTCTGCCTCCCCCTCTTAGGAGCCCCAAGCCATTCAAGAGTCCAAAAATCATGTCAAGTGGCTCAATGTCCAGAAGGTTCATTCATTCTATATGGTCATATCTGTCCCCAGGCTATGTTCTGGGGCACAGAGCCTTATGCAGGTCAGCTGCCAAACTGCATCCTTTTTGTCACCCTTTTGCCCAGCATGTCATATCCCCTTCTTTCCTTACTGCCTCTCCTTTCAGGTGGCAGGTCTGGGCCACCTGAAGCCCAATCTGCTAGTCTTGGGATATAAGGGAAATTGGCAGGAGGTGCCAATACCAGCTGTGGAGGACTATGTTAGCATTCTACAGTAAGTGTTGGGGGAAAGGTGAAGACAGGCTTAGAAATGGTCAGGAGCCAGAGGAAGAAGAAACATAATCATGGTGAAGCCCTCTTCTCTCCAGCTGCTCAGCAGTACCTATATCCCCAGGAAGAGGAACATCCCTCTTGTCAGCTCTTGCTCCTAATTTCCTTTTTTCTTCCCCATAAAGAGATGCCTTTGACCACAACTATGGTGTCTGTCTCTTAAGGATGCCAGGGGGGTTAAACCTGGCTACCCAACTTCAAACTCAAGGTGAGTCAAAAAGGAGTGGGCCTAAGGGAAGGATACAGTGTGGGAGGTACAGAAATTGGCTGTCAAAGACAGTCACGGGAGCCAGAAGCACTCGTTTAGTTACCAAGGCTTGAGGCTGAATAGAATCACGTCCTAGGATGTGAGAAAAATGAATTTTGCTTTGAAGATCCTACCTATACAGGCTTAGCTCTCCTGAAACCTTAAGGGATGGGGGAAAGCTCTCAAGTTATCTTCTCAATTCAGGGGCAGAAATGTGAATCGAGAGATACAAAGTGGGAGGGTGAGGGTGAGCTGGACAGTGGTCAGGAGGCATATGGCCCAATCCCAGAGCAAGATTTCTGGCACTATTCCAGACTCCTCCATCGAACTAGCTTATACTTGGGAGTCCTGACTGAATGGGTGGGCTCAGGGAAGGATGCAAAAGACAACATTCTTTTGCATTATACCTCCACCTTTCCCAGTAAATCCAAGGGGTTTGGATACCATAGGAATGGATACTTAGCAGGGGGAGGAGATGAATCCTAAAACAGAGTTTTGGGAAGTGGGAAGAGTAGTAGGCACCCAGTAAAATGGACAGAAAAGGGAATGTGGTTAGTCAATGGAGAGAAAAGCCACATGGCAGTTCTGTGGGATAGCAACAATTTTCCTCAGGGAGAGGAGAGGTATGATATTCAGTTGGGAGCAACTGCTCAGCTGGGTAAGGAATTTGTCTTTCTTTGCCTTTTTCTTCTTGGGCAGTATCCTTACACTGGCAGCCTCGAACCTTGTTTTGCTCCAAGCAGGCTGGTGGATAGTGGACGTGTACTGGCTTAGCAGTGATGGAGGTATGGACTCCACGGCTCCCGAAAAAGCCCCAACTCCTCTCCAAGTTCCCGAGAACAAGAATGGGAGGACGGGGATATAAAAACCAGGGAGGACCTAAGAACAAACCCTGCATTTGCCAAGTACCCAATGCTCTCCTCCTACCTCAGAGGCCTTTGCTCTCTTCCCAGTTCCCAGAGATGGTGGGCAGGGAGGCTGCCTTTCCTCTCCTCTCCTCCTCACAGGGCTGATGCTGCTGATCCCCTTTCTACTGACATGCAAGAAAAACTGGGCTTGATGTCCCGTAAGAGTTTTTGTGAGCAGTCCCCCTGAGCAGCTGGAGGAGAAACACACAGAGTGAGCAGGACATGAAAACCCAAGGTTATGCCTAAAATGCAGAAGCCAGGAAGGGGAGGGGAGGGTGTTGGACCACTTGCCCAGATAGAGGGATAGGAAAAGCTGCCAGGAAATGTAGGCAAATGTCTGGTTCCTCTCTCCTCTTGCCCTAGGATACATACCCTCCTCAGAAGGTTCAGGCTTGGCTCCCAGCATGTGACTCTACTACCTGACCTCACAGGCAAACCTCAGGAAACAAGGTCAGGACCAAGCCCCTGCCCCAGTGCGCGTCTGCTCTGCCTGCCCTCCTTCTTCACAGAACGTAAAGGAGCAAGGGTCAGACAAGCTATATTCTAACAAGCACAAGGGGAGAGTGGGAGGAGGAAGTGAACCTTGATGAAGGACTGTGGTGGGGAGCAAGCACAAGCAGCTATGGTCTTTACCTACATTGGAACGGAGTTATCCTTACCAGTTTGGAAAAATGCAAGGAGCTTAGGCAGCAAAACAGAAAAACTGTAAAGTGAGGAAGCTTTATTGTTCCTAAATTCCTAAGGCAGACATTTCAGGGAACAGATACTTTCTGTTCCTTGATGAATCTAGAGTTTCTTTCTCTGCAGCCAAAAGGCTTTCAAAGACTTGGTGGCCTTACACCAGTTGCAAAATCCACCACCAAAGGGAGACTTGGAATCTACTTCTCTTGGCACTCCTGCTCCTTCAGGCTACATCTCTGGGACCTGCAGGCAAACCAAAAGCAGGTATATAGGAACAGGGCCAGCAAGTGGGGCAACTGTCTCAGAGTAGGAGCTGACAATGGCACACACCCTGTCCTCTGCTCAGTCTTCCCAACCATGTAGTCAGAGTGGCACGTGTCTTCGTGAAGTCCTATGGTAATATTCCCAGGACACTGCCCTCACAGTCATGTGAGTGTGGGGAAATGCCAAGCTGCAGGGCAAAGATCCCAGGGGTAGGGCTAGACCAAAGGCTAGATAAGCTGAGAAATAAGTTGCATTCCTCACACTGCCTTCCTTAACAGTGGCCTACCTACTATCCCTCAGTTAGCCGCCCTGGGGCCCTGTATATGGCCTGGCTGGAGATGCTGTCCAGGGGCCTGACACCCCCCATTGCCTTCATCCATGGGAATCAACAGGACACACTGCCCCTGTACCACCAGTAAGAGACCGGAGGAGAGGCCCAAACCATAGCACTCAAGGAGCCATGATCTTGGCTCAACAACCTTGGCAGCTGTCCTTGGGAAGCATCAGGCAAGAGCCCAAAGCTTCCTAGGGAAGAACTTCCATTTTGAGTGACACCAGCAGGGTTACAGTGCTAACGAACATCCTCCATCTCACTCTATTACATTAATAAAAGCTTACTACCCAAGGCTAATGTGTAACAATATGCTTCCCATTTAGAAAATCAACTCCGCAAGCCTTACAGGGGCAGAGATCTCAAGTATTTTCAAGGAGAGGAATTTATCTTCTTTCTATCTCCATCTCAAACTATTTCATCCCAAAGTTTCTGATTTTAAAATTCCATGTTTTAGCACATGTTCAACCATTTATGTATCTATCCTTGGTAAATGAGTGTTTAGCACCACTTTCTACTTAATAACTCATCAGAAACTTACTCTTTTCCCAAGCTCATATGATCTCAGTTCTTTTTATCTTTCAGCTTATCTCCCCCATCAGCTTATTCATTCATACAGCAAATACTAATTCAAGGTCCACCATGCACCAGATCCTATTCTAAGTACTAGGAAATGATATGGCAATGAATGTAACGAGCTAGTGATTCCCTCCTCTCACAGAGTTTATATTCTAATAGGAGAAGATAATGAACAGAAATAAAACTTTCTGAAGGTGAAGCACTATAAAGAGAAATGAAACAGGGAAGGGGGCTAGAAAGTGCAATTTTAAGTATGTTTGTCAATTTTAAGTAGGCCTCACTGAAAAATAAAATGTTGAGACAGACTTAGACATGGAGTAAACTATATCTGAGAGAAGAGTTTTTCAGCAGAGAGAGCAACAAGCATATAGACCTTGAGGGGCCAGCAGAAACACACCTCAGTGTGTAAAAAACCCCCAAAAAAGCCAAATTTGCTGGAGTAGAGTGAACAGGATGGTGAACAGCAAGAAATAAGGTCAAAGCAGTAAAGAAGGAGGGGTGGGGCAGATCCTGAAAGGCCTTCCAAGGACTCTGGTTTTTACTCTAACATGAGAAAACAGAGGACTTCGAGAAGAGGGACATACTCTGGCTTGTGTGTGAACACTGTTCACTCTGGTTGCTGTGTTTGATCCCATTTCCCCTGTCAACAGTGATAAGAACAATCTTGGTGGGGTGGACTTAATAGGGAACTGGTAGAGAGAACTGTAGACAACTCTTTTAAGATATTTTGCTGTAAAATGGAGCAAAAAATAAGAAGTAATTGGAAGGGGAAATGGGATCAAGAGCAGCTTATATGCCTGTGAGATGAGAAAAATGATGGCATTATTTGTGTGCTGACAGGAAAATCCAGGAAAGAAAGGGAAATACTGACTCTGCTGAAAAGGAGAGAAAACTGTCATTAAAAGCTAGAGGATGGGATCTACTGTACAGATGTTTGGACAGGAGCATGGAGTTTGTTTATAACAGGGTTTCTCAACCTTGACACTAACAATTTAGCCTAGATAATTCTTTGTTGTGGCAGAATATTCTGTGCACTGAATGTTATTTTGCAGCAACCATGGCCTCTACCAAGTAACACTGCCTCCCAGCTGTAACAACCAGATGTCCTCTGGGGAACAGAATCAATCCCAGTTGAGAAACACTAGCATACAGTAACAGGAGGAAAAGTGAAGCACATGGGTATAAATGCTAAAAGGTGATTAGATGTAGTGATGGTAATTTGTTGAACATTTTTTTTCTTGCTTTTATTTTCTCACTAAATTAGGAACCTAAGTAGGAGTGGGAATGGGGAGAGATGTTGGAGATTTGAGGGGTCAGGAGGTATGAAACAGTTATAGGAAAAGATGGTGAATAAAAGAATTAGGGAATATTGCTAGGTAACATAAAAGACACACTTACGTTACATGGTAAATTTAAAGCCAGCCAAGTCAGCTATTTTTGCTAGCCCTTTCAGCTGCACGGGTCTAGGCATAAAGTATGTCAAGAGTTGAATATGACAAAAGCAAGAGAGAGGCAAGGGAGATGAAGTGTGTGTAGTTAAACTGCTCATGACTGGAATTTAGCTGGGGGAGGGAAATGGAAAACATGTGGGGGATAAGGGTCAGAAGAAAGGAAATCAATGGACTGTAGGTCCCAGTGAAGGGATGAACTATGATTCAGTGCACTGAAGGGAGGGCACTGGGAAGACAGGAGGTAATGGTGACAGAACGGGATGCCTGGGACTGAGATATCAAGGAGTTGTAGGTCCCGAACAGGCCCAAGGGATTGAGTGGCTGAAGCTGGGGTGGAGGACAAGATCACACCAAGATCACAGGAGAAGCAAAGACTTAAAGAGACCAGAGCATCAGAAGGATGATCTAGAGGGATACTGAAATCACTGCCACTGCTAGAGGCACTGGGAGAAGCAGAGACCTCAGGAGAAACCAGGGCTCTGAGCAAGAATGTGAAGAGAACATTCAGAAAAAGGTGGAGGATATAGGGAATTTTGCTAATTGAAAGTTGAAGAATATAGGGAATTTTCTAATTGCCTGTTAGTTTCAGAGAGCACAGAAGAACTTCAGGTGTTGGAAGAGGAAGGTAGATGGGAAAGTAATGGTTACTGAAATGTAAAAGATGAGAGGTGACTTGGTAGTTCGGGACGTCTTGTGGTGGCTAACATAAACAAGATGAAGGGCATGATGAGACTGGTTCTGGCAGTGGTGGTGGGCGGAGGGATGTGTACCTGGAGGCCCGCTCAAGCCCACCAATGAAGTATATGTAAGAGACATAGGAGTCAGCATATGGAAGAGAAACAGTTCTACTCTTGAGTTACAAAGTAACACAAAATTAGAGGAGCTCCAGTCCATTTTGAGGGAAGTCCTGAGTACTTACCTCAAAGAATTTAAATGAGATGATGAATGTAAAGCAGTTAGCACAAAGTCTGATACTAAAATTATATTAGTTATGATAATAATATTATGAAGGGGATGTTGGAAGAGTACATGAGATATCCACTCAATCTCAGCTCCAGAGCAACAGCTCCCAGGGTACATGCAGTCAGCCAGGGTGCAGCTCTGACTCCTGCCTCTGGTGCCGTTCACCCCATCAGCAAGAATTTATCCAGGGCTAACTCCTCTGTATTATTCCTGAACAATACAAGTCTATTAACAACATACGAAACCAAAAATATTTTATTGCTTAGTCAACTTGAGGTTCAAGTGGATGGGAAATGGGAGTCCCTAGCCTTGCCAGGGCTCGCACGTCAGCATAGAGATTAAGGCCCAGGGCCCCTGAGACTCCACTGAGGGCATTACTATCTACTCTGATCCTGACAATCTTGTTAGTCCCTCCAGGTCACTTCTACTTCGTCTGTCCGATACCTGTAAAAAGAACAGGAAAAACTTGGTGGACAGCTATCCCTTGGCATCTTCCATTCTTCTCAGCACTCCTGAATCTGGACCTTTTTTCCTGCTGACTTTTTGCCTACCTCCCACATAATCCTATCCAACCCTTTCCAGGGGGGTACTCACCTCTGTGTGACTCCAGAATCACTAAGCGGGGTCCTGTGTCCGGCCCGAAACATCTCCCATCCAGCATGGGCTATCATGGCCCCATTGTCAATGCAGAATCTGGAAAGGAAAAGATATGACTTGGGGTCTAAGAGTAGAAAAATCACAGTAATTGGAGGGAGGAAAAAAAAAAAAAGAAATAAAGAAAGGGAAAGGGCCTTCACCTCTCATCTGTGGCAAAAAGCTGGGCTCCACGTTCCTGGCACATTGTCTCCATCATTTCCTGTAGCCTCCTATTACCTACAGAGAGGTAGGAAGTAGGGATATCTTAAGTTTTAACCATTTCCCC